GATAGATAGATAGATAGATAGATAGATAGATAGATAGATAGATAGATAGATAGATAGATAGATAGATGGATAGATAGATAGATAGATAGATAGATAGATAGATAAAAGACTATATTCAGACCATCAGATGATGAAGGGAGGCTGATTATGTGGAAAAGGTTTTTTGGGAAAAGTTCCAGTAATTCCTCTTCATTCTAGATTCTAGATGTTGATCCACTAGTGCAGTGTTTTTCAACCACTGTGCCTCGGTACACTAGTGTGGTGTTAGTGATGGTCAGGTGTGCCGTAGAAAATCATCCTATTTCACCTAATTGGTCTAAAAATACTTTTTGATAAGGAATTAATTATCTGCAAATAATATGCCATTTTTGAGTCTGTGCTTAACTAGTGACTGGTGGAGTAATCATGTAATAATTCCTTATGACTAGATTTTGTTTATAATTTTGTATATTGAAGTGGACATGTTAAGTGCAATTTGAAAGACGAAATATAAAATATGATAAAAATACATTTTTGTGTTTATTTGATTCCTATTCAAGACACTTAGATAAGATAAGACGTAGACTAAGACTTCCTTTATTGTCATTGTACAAAAAAAAAGGTGAATCTTGACAACGAAATGTCGATTACTTGATAAAATAAGAATAACTATAGTGTTATTATAGGCGGTTACAGATTTGTTTGACATTTTTGGTTGGTGGTGTGCCTCGTGATTTTTTCTATGAAAAAATGTACCTTGGGTCAAAAAAGGTTGAAAAACACTGCACTAGTGATGTTCTCTTTTGGGCTCATTATCCTCCTGAGACCCTGTGTCCTCATAAGAGGACGTTGCATTTTTGTCTCTCTTTACCATGATACTTCTTTTTTTTCTTTCAGCTTTGACCTCTTGGCCTCATAGCAGATGCTATCAGACACTGTTTGAAATCTAAAGTAAAATGGTTTTATACATTTCCATCCAATCATGTTCTTATTGTGTAATAGAAAAAATGTAAATAAGTCAATGGGACTGTCAGAACAAAATTGTAAAAACATTTAATTAAATATGTATCTCATATATTTAAAAAAAAAAAAAAAGCTAAAATGCATGCCAAATAAAAGCTCGGGTCTCAGGAGGTTAAATTAATCGGTTGTGTTCCCACTCACCCCACAGAGCCATGAACACGGAGAAGAAGACGGTGGCCGGGTTGTCGAACAGATGGCTGGCGCGGGCCGTTCCACAGGAGGTGCTGAGCCTCCAGTAGCTGCACACTCGGTCACACAGGGGGCACATGGTGATGTTGTTCTTCGGGTGACAGATCTCCATGCTGGAATTCATAAACACACACACAGCCACTTACATTTTTTCTTAACCCTTTATTTAACCAGGAAGTCCCGTTGAGATTCAGAATCTCTTTTTTCAAGAGAGACCTGGCCAAGGTAGCAGCCAAACCACAGGAAGTTCATCCATGTTTACAACATATTACATTTTTTATAATCACTTTCACTTCACTTTCACTTTATTTTGGTCAATTGTCCACATTAAACACAAGAAACAACAAAAGGAAAAAAAAGAAAAAAACAATAGACAAACCCACAGTTTACCAAAAAAGGAATAGGCCGAAGCAAAGCTTATTCTTGCCTACCCTATTTTTTTACCTTACAACCAGGATTTCTTCAAATTCAGATTACATAGTACATAGTACATGTATAGATCTACATAAGAACGTAAGATTGTATCATTTTACATTTTAAAGCTCTTTTAAAGTTCACCAAGAAAGGACATAACTTAAATTCATCATCCAATTCATTCCACAGTTTCACACCAATAACTGAAACACATCTAAACTTTATCTGACTTTTTTCTTTTGCACATTCAAATATAAACAAACCTCGCAAATTATATTTATTTTCTCTTAACTTAAATCATTTCTGAATACCAGAAGGAAGACTTTTATTCAATGCTTTATACATTATTTCCAGTATTTTTGTATAAACAATATCTTTAAATTTTAATATTTTACTTTGAATAAAGAGTTTCTCAGTTGGTTCACGGTATCCCACCTTATTTGTAATAGAATCAGAGCAGTATGTTAAAACACATTGAGCATCTCAAGAAAAACAAGCACATATCTCCACCACTACATTCTTCATGGTTGCTTTAAATTCATTAATGGACACGAGAGTTTCTGATTTGAGCTCTTTCTGGAGCTTATTCCATCCCCAAGGTGCAGACTAGGAGAATGCCGTTTTTCCCAACTCAGTTGAAGCCCGGGGTACATTAAAAAGTAAAAACAGATAACTACCAGAACTCACAGAGAGGAAGTTACATTCTTATCAGAGCCAAGAGCTCATCTCCACACACACCCATCAGGTCCTGGAGGCTCCCTCTTCCCCATTTCCAATCCTCCCTTTCTAGAATTTGACCCTTAAATGATTCTTACAGGGAAGTTTAGACAAGCTATCACAGGTTAAAGCACTCCTCTGATCAGTTACATGTAATCTGATTTGTTTTTATGTAACTGTAGAAACTCTTTTGTTTGTATCTCAGGAAATTGATAATCTTTTTTCTTATTTTTTTTTTAATTCATTGATGCCCTTTTTACTTGTAACTGTAGAAACTCTTTTGTTGGTATCTTAGGAAATTGATAGTCTTTCTTTTTCTTTTTTTCCAAATTCTAGATGTCCTGTTTTCTTGTAACTGTAGAAACTCTTTTGTTGGTATCTCAGGAAATT